AGCTGCTGCTCCAGCGCTCTGATCCCAAAGGAATTGCCCCCATTCCCATTGTCCCAGATTTCCAGGTAGGAACAGGTGAGTGATAAAGAGCTGAGCTGCTGCTCCAGTGCTCTGATCCCAAAGGAATTGCCCCCATTCCCATTATTCCAGACTTCCAGGTGGGAATGGGTGAGGGATAAGGGGTCACTGAGAGCTGAGCTGCTGCTCCAGTGCTCTCTGATCCCAAAGGAATTGCCCCTATTCCCATTATTCCAAACTTCCAGGTGGGAATGGGGGAGGGATAAGGGGTCACTGAGAGCAGAGCTCCATCTCTCTGATCCCAAAGGAACTGCCCCCATTCCCATTGTCCCAGATTTCCAGGTAGGAACAGGTGAGAGATAAAGAGCTGAGCTGCTGCTCCAGCGCTCTGATCCCAAAGGAATTGCCCCCCATTCCCTATTCACCATTCCCCATTAGCTGATCCCATTATTCCAAACTTCCAGGTGGGAATGGTGAGTGATAAAGAGCTGAACTGCTGCTCCTGTGCTCTGATCCCAAAGGAATTGCCCCCATTCCCATTATTCCAGACTTCCAGGTAGGAATGGGTGAGGGATAAGGGGTCACTGAGAGCTGAGCTGCTGCTCCAATGCTCTGATCCCAAAGGAATTGCCCCCATTCCCATTATTCCAAACTTCCAGGTGGGAATGGGGGAGGGATAAGGGGTCACTGAGAGCAGAGCTCCAGCTCTCTGATCCCAAAGGAACTGCCCCCATTCCCATTGTCCCAGATTTCCAGGTAGGAACAGGTGAGAGATAAAGAGCTGAGCTGCTGCTCCAGCGCTCTGATCCCAAAGGAATTGCCCCCATTCCCCATCCAGGAGCTGGGAATCATCCCGCCCTGGAGACGCGGTTGGGGAGGGCACGTCCCTGTGCCCTCGGGAATGTCACCTTGTCCCTCTCCTCCTCCACGCGCATTTGGAGGCGAGCTCTTAATGGCTCGCTGTTAATTAGTGTGAACTCTGATTGCCCTGCGAGCACGCCCTTGCCTTTGTCAGCTAATTGGCCGGGCTTTCTCATCTATTATGTAAATAGCGCCGGTCTCTGCGGCGCGGTGTCGTAACCCAGCGCATTCCTGGGAGCCTGCGCTCCTGCCTCTTGGAATTGTGCTCCCGGCCCCGGGCGAAAAGAGCAGCAACAACAACAACAACAAAAAGCAGGCGAGCCTTTGGCTGGGTTTTGGGAGGCTCCAGAAGAAAGTGTTCCGGGCAGGAGTTCAGGCCGTGGACAGTGGGAGAAGGGGGAGGGAGGGAGGAGGCAGCGGGAAAAGCTGGATAATCCTGGCCTTGCGTCACCTCCCGCGGCCCCGCGCGCACAGGTAGGGCTGGGAATGGATCCAGGGCTTGTTCCGTGTCACATCCCCAGGGAAGGAGGGAGGGAGGAGCAGCTCTGCCCTGCCCTCTGTGCCGGGCGCTGCTGAGGTCACACCTGGAATTCCGTGTCCAGTTCTGGGTCACTCCGGTCGGGACCTGGAGAGTGTCCAGGAAAAGGAGAATTCCCGAGGGAGCTGGGAAGGGGCTGGAGAATTCCTGGGGGAGCTGGGAAGGGGCTCAGGCTGGAGCAAAGGAGGCTCAGGGGGAATTTCTGGCTCTGCACAAGTCCCTGGAAGTTTGGAGCCAGGTGAGAGCTGGGATCTGCTCCCAGGAAAAAACAGGATAGGGAACAGCCTCAGGCTGGGCCAGGGGAGCTCAGGGCAGGAATTCCAGCAGGAATTTCCTCATGGAAAGGGTGGTCAGGCCTCGGAAGTGCCCAGGGAGGTTTGGAGTGCCCATCCCTGGAGGCGTCCAAGGAATTCCCGGATGTGGCTCCCGGTGCCAAGGTGGGAATCGGTCCCAGCTTGGACTGGATGTTCCTGAAGGGATTTTCCAACCTTTATGATCCCGCTGCAAGGACCGTGCCCAGTTTCCCTCCTGTCCTGGGACAAGCAAAGCTCCTCACCCAATCCCAAGGCCCCTTGTAACCTTATCCACGGGAGCTGTCGGTTTTTAAGGAAAACTCGGATATTCCGGGAGCTGGTGAGGCAGGGAATTGTTTCTGCTGGTTCTGGCCAGCCAAGGACTCTTCCCAGCCACCCTGGGAGATGCCACAGCAGGAGGAGGCACCGTCCAGCGCCAAGAGCCCAGAGGAGCCAAAGGATTCCAAAAAGAGATCCACAGGCCTAGATTTTTCCAAAGCCAGCAAATTTTGGGGTTGGAGATGGTCCAGATGGGTCTTTTCCAGTGATCCCTGTCTTGCAAACAGGACAATTTAGGACAGGAACCCCAAATGTCCTGGCCTGGCAGTGAAGGAGGCGGCTCCTTGGAATATCAGCCGGTGTTTTCCATGAGGGAGCGAGGGAGAGGGAGAAAAACTTCCAAAGAATATTTATTCCACAGACAAGCAGAGCTGTAAAACAAATGAGCAAAGTCCCTGCTCCGATAAATCCACTTAGAAATCCAAACCCAGTAGCAACAGGATAATTTATGTCCCACGGAGAGAGGTCCAGGGGAAAATTGATGAAGTCTCTTATTTGGGTCATAAATCAGATTCCATTAATGGAACCCATCCACAAATTTATAAACACAACCCGGAGCCCAGGCTGGTCCTTGCAGCTCCCGGGAAGGAGCAAAAAGTGGGCTCTGATCCATAAACTCCTTCCTGATAAATCCAGGAAGACAATCTGTGAAAAGATAGCGGGGCTGGATTTATGGCACCTGAAAGGGAGCCAGGCGGGAGTAAATCTTGTGTGCCGGCAGGAATAAATCTGGGAATGTTCTCCTCTTCTTCCCTGTCCAGAGAGCCACTCGCAAATCTGAGAGCGTTTCCAGCTCCTCTTTGCTTTGGCCTTCCTGCCTCCAGTCCCGGGAATGCCAAGGCTTTTGGGATCACGGAATTGATCATGGTTGGGTTGGAAAGGATCTTAAGGATCATCCATTCCCACCCCATTCCATGGGCAGGGGCAGCTCCCAGGATCCCAGCTGGATCCAATCCCAGTGTCCAGCCGGGCCTTGGGCACTTCCAGGGATCCAGGGGCAGCCACAGCAAATGTGGGAATTGCAGCCCAGGCAGGAATTCCTTCCCAAATTCCCATCTAACCCTGTCCTCTTTCAGTTTAAAATGCATTTTTGGGATGGGGCAGTAGAAAATAGGGCCAAACATTTATATTTTTATATTTTTTTTGAGCAATCCCTGCATTCTTGAAGTCCATTTAGTGTCAGATTCTCAGTACAAAACCCAAAAACTCAGAGGAATTTTATCCAGGACCGGGATACTTGTGAGCATTATTGGGAAGGAATTCCTGGCTGGGAGGGTGGGGTGGGGCTGGGCTGGAATTCCCAGATTTGCTGGGGCTGCCCCTGCATCCCTGGCAGTGCCCAAGGCCAGGTTGGATGTTGGGATTGGTGTCCCTGCCTTGGGAACAGGGTGTGATTTAAGGTCCTTCCAACCCAAAGCATTCCGTGATTCCACAGTCAGTCGATATTTAGGATTTAGGGATCCATGGATGGAGATGAACCTCCCCTCAAGGTCTGAGATCACCCCAAGTTCTGGTTTGAAGGCAGGGGTTTGAAATCCAAAAGGATTACCAGTAATCCCACACATTCCCAGGAATGTCTCCGACCCTGGAGAAATCCCATTCCCTCCATTTCCCATGGCTGGGAAGTTACTGATGGATTCACCTCAATCCCAGTAAAATCATCCAGTCTTTCTGAAAACTCCAGGATGGTTTGGGTTGGAAAACACCAACCCTGGGAAGATCCTGAAAGTTCCTCGATTCCAACCAGGCTTGGGCAGTGCCCACCATGGATCAAACCAGTCAAAATCCATCAGGATCTTCCCGAAAACCCTGAGGAACAATGAAATCCCAGGTGGGTGTTGGGGAAAGATGGGAATAACAACAATAATTCCACACTTTTTGAAGTCTCTCCAGCCCAAACACCGAGGGCTCAGAGCAGCTGTGATTCCTTCTGCTTTGCAAACAACCACGTGGATTTTCCAGAGGTGGAGAAAAAATTCCCTCCCCATCCCATCAGCACTGAGGAATGTTGGGGAGAAGCCCAGAATTCCCCGGCTTTTCCTTGTGGAAAGGCTCCTTGTGGTTCGTTCTGTGCTTGTACAGGAAAATTCCGTTGGATGCTGAGCTGGGAAGAGCCTTTAGGTGGAAAATATTCCTTAGGGAATTTCCCTTGGGGAGTTTAGGAATGCAGGGGGTCGTGGCCATGCTCTCCTTGGAATAAAAGCTCCCATCCATTCCCATTCCCTTGGAAGCTCCAGGCAGATTCCAGGGCTCCGAGGGAATGTCTGGATATTCCATGGAATTAATCATGGATATCACACAGGGTAATCCCATGCCGAGCACATCCAGAGGGGCTGGATTGCAGCACCTGGGCTGGGCAGGAATTCCTGCTCCTCTGGAAGATAAAGGAGGGAAAAGTTCCAGCCACCGCTCCCAGCTGCGCTCGGAGCTTTGTGGACACCACAAATTGGGGAAAAAAAGGGAAAAACAGGAAGTTGCAGTGTTTTCCAAACCCTATCCCACACGGAATAGCCAGAATGGAGAATGGAAAATCCTTGGATGGAGATTCTCCTTTGAATGGAGAATCCTGGGATGGAGATTTCCATGGAGATGATACTAAATGCGCTTTATTCTTATTTTTTATTCCAGTTCGTTGCTGCAATGGGCTGTTGGGACAGAGTTCCTGAAGGAATTGCTTCCCTGGTATCCCAAAATATTATTTCCATGTGATTAAAACTGCTTTAAAAACTTCATGGAGGCTCAGGGGTTGTGCACGAGAGGTCAGTGGGGGCCAGGCCAATTTATCATGGAATCATGGAATGGTTTGGGTGAGAAAAGACCTCGAAGATGATCTAATTCTGCTCCCAGCACCTCCCACCATCCCAGCTGGATCCAACCTGGCCTTGGGCACTGCCAGGGATCCAGGGGCAGCCCCAGCAAATCTGGGAATTGCAGCCCAGGCAGGAATTCCTTGCCAAGATCCCAGCCCAATCTCCCCTTTCCCACTGGAAGCCATTCCCTGGCTCCTGGCCCTGCAGCCCTTGGCCCCAGTCCCTCTCCAGCTCTCCTGGAGCCCCTGCAGGGACTCTCAGCATTCCCTGCATTTTGCCCTTCTCCAGGGGAACATCCCCAGCTCTCCCAGCCTGGCTCCAGAATCCTGGAATGATTTGGATTGGGATTGACCCTAAATCCCCTCCCATTCCCACCTCATCCATGGGCAGGGACAGCTCCCGCTGTCCCAGCTGGATCCAATTCCAAGGTCCAACCTGGCCTTGGACAATTCCATGGATTTGACAGCCACAGCTTCTCTGGACAACCACGTTCCACAGATCCAGAGCCCTTCCAGGGCAAGGGGAGATGTTTAAATCCATTAAATCCATTGGAATTCCTTGCCCATTTCCCACAGTTCCCATTGGCCCGTGTTGAGAAAGAGGCTGAAGTTCTTCTGGATCCAAGAGGAGAATTCCAGCGTTTTCCACAGAGCGGGAAATATTCCCTGTGGAGCTGCTGCGGGCTTTGCCTTCCGTTTTCCAAACCCGCAGCCACTCCATGGATTCCTCTGGAATGGGGCACGTTGAGAAACAATTTTGGCCTCAGATGGGAATTCAGTTGCGATTTGACTGGAATTTAATCCTGACAGGGCTCGCGGGATCAGCTCCCGCTTTTCCCCAGGGATAAAAATTCCCCCCTTCCTTTGTGGATGCCGCTCTCCGGGACACCAAAGGCAAATTCTGACAGCGGAATAATCCAAAAGTGGGAGAGTTTGGGAAGGATTTGCGATGAGGAAGGATTAAAATTTGCTTTGTACAGGAATTTCATCACCAAATCCCTGCCTTTCCCACCTTAAAATCCGCCAGGGATTGTCTGAAACGCTTTGATGAGGTGCCCTTAATTGGGATTGGAATTCTGGAGGCATTACCTGGGATACAGCTGAGGGGATTGCACAAAGAGTTCGGAAAAAATTAATTTGGATTAAAATTTGACTCCTTTTTGTTGCTTTCCCGGAGTTTGGTGGAGCCGCGTGAAGATTTCCCTTTATTCCAAGAGAAATTTTCCATTATGTTCCCCTCCTAAAAAAAGGTGGATGTGTTTTGGGAGACTAGTCTTGAAATTTTAATAACTTCTAATTTTTTCTTTTATTTTTCTTTTTTAATTTTAATTCTAAACATTTTAAACACATCAACTAAAAAAAGAAAAGTGCATAAGGGAAGGAAATAACGGGATATCGATGGAAAATCAATCCTTTTTTTAATGGGATGGTTTGGGAAAGGGCCCTGCTATTTTAAGAAAGATTTTTAAAAAGAATCCTTTAAGTAGGATTAAAATATTTTAATTCTATTACTATTATTGAATGATATTAAAATATATACAAGAATAATAAATATTAGTATTAAATAATTATAAAATACTTAACTACAATAATGAAATAGAATATAAAATATTAAATATATATAAAAATATAATAATAAAGATCTCTCCTTTTCCAAGAGATCCATGATTTTTCTGCTGATCATTCCTCATGGATTCCAAAGAGGTGGAGTAAAGCCAAATTTGGGTTCAGAGAGGACTTTGAAAACTCTGGCATGAAGCAACCGTGGCTCCTTCCAGATCTTGATTTTTGAAGATTATCCAAAAATTGAAGATTATCCAAAGCCCGGCTTAATCCCTGCCCTGATTTTGGAGGGATATCAGTGACTCTATCCCAGAAAAACTCTGCGATTTCTCAGCCTTTCCCAACTTTCCTCAGCTCCTCCAGGAGCTCTCCCTCCGGCATCTCCCAGGTCTCCCATTCCCTGTTCCCAGGCTCATCCGGCCTGGATGAAATCCAGGTTTTTTGCTGGATTTTTGGGTGGTTTCCAGTCAATCCTCCACAGCCATCCCATGGCTGGAAGGATTCCAAGGATCTGGCGGGGTCGGGATGAGGGCAGGGTTGACCTTTCCTGCAGTTCGGGATCAGGGAAGCTCAGCCCGTGGCGGAATTCCCAGCTGGAATTCCAGCTTTGGAATCTTTGGGGTGCAGTCGGGCCTGGAGGCACCATGGCCGCTCTCAGGGTGTGGGGAGAGGAGGTTGGAAAGTTTCCAAATCGTGGGATAATGGAATTGTTTTAGTTGGAAAAGAGGTCATGGAGTCCAAGCAGCGCGGCCGAGGCCACCACTGACCCCTGTCCCTGAGTGCCACTTCCACCTGGATTTTAAATCCCTCCAGGAATGGCGACTCCAAACCTCCCTGGGCACTTCCAAGGCCTGACCACCCTTTCCATGAAGGAATTTTCCCAATACCCACCCTGAAGCTGTTCCCTGGGAACAGATCCCAACTCCCACCTGGCTCCAAACTTCCAGGGACTTGTGCAGAGCCAGAAATTCCCCGAGCCTCCTTTGCTCCAGCCTGAGCCCCTTCCCAGCTCCCTCAGCAATTCTCCAGCCCATCCCAGCTCCCTCAGCAATTCTCCAGCCCCTTCCCAGCTCCCTCAGCAATTCTCCAGCCCCTTCCCAGCCCCTCAGCAATTCTCCAGCCCCTTCCCAGCTCCCTCAGCAATTCTCCAGCCCCTTCCCAGCTCCCTCAGCAATTCTCCAGCCCCTTCCCAGCCCCGTTCCCTTCCCTGGGAACGCTCCAGCCCTTCCAGGGCTCTCTTCCCACCCAAAATTCCCCCTGGGATCTGAGGTGTGGCCTGGCCAGAGTGGCTGCGACCCCGTAGCCACCCAAAGATTGGTGCTGGTGAATCCTGCCCAAGGAAAAGCACCAAAAAATGGGATTTCTCTTCCAGTCCGGGATGCTGGGATGTGTTTTCCAAGATTTCTGGGAAGCATCTGCCCTCCCTGATGTTTCTGATTGCTGGTGCAAGGGCCAGATTCCCTGTTTTCCGAGGTCACCAATACCCCAAAAATGTCGCTCTGACTTTCAACCCTGGAGCCAATTCCTTCCCAAAGGACAAAGGAACTTCAGAATCCCTCAGAAATCCTCAAAATCCAAAGTGTGAGGGATAGCTGGAGCTGTTTTTAGTTTTTATGTATCCTAAAATGATAATTGGGAATAGCTGGAGAAACTGGGGCATGGGATTAAAACTTTAAGACCTTTTCCCAAATCATTCCAGGGAAAAAATGATGGTTTTTTTACATTATTTCTTTCCATTATAAATTCCCTTTTTTTTTTTTTTTTAATTGATGCATTTAAAACATTCTGACAGCTGAAATCAGGGAATAATGGAATTGTTTTAGTTGGAAAAGCCCTGGCCACCACCTTGTCCCTGATGTAGGGACAGATCCTGTCCTCAGCTCTGGGCAGAGCTTTGGGCAAGGTCAGGGGCTTGGGAATTTTCTCTGATATTCCTTGGAAAGATTTGTGTGGGAAAAGTTGGGAAATGGAAGAGGTGTTCACACATTTTGGGGGCGTTGGAAATGAGTTAGGAGCTGTAATTTAAAAAAACCCCAATATTCTCAAATATAATTTTGTCTTAAAAAACAGGACCGGAACCATTTCTGGGTGAAAGCATCCCCCAGAAAAAAAAAAGAAATTATCTCAATTAATTAAAACATTATTTTAAATTTTCTTTTAATTGGAAAACTAAACTCAGAAAATCCCAGAGCTTTTCACCTTCAAGGGTTATTTCAATAAACCTGGATCAGCTGATTTTGGCCAAAAGTTGAGGTGAAATTTGTGACCCTGACCCTGGCAAGAAATGCGATAAAAATTAATCCTCTAATTAAAAAAAATAAAAATAATTGCAGCCAAGAAAATAATAAAGATAATACATTAATAAAAAGAATAAATTAATAAAAAAGAATAAATTAGTAAAAATGATAAATTAATAAAAATAATAAATTATAAATAAATATATGAAAACAAATATAAATAATCAGAATAAGAGGCTGTGTGGCAATTTCCTTCTCGGGTGTTGCTCCCGTGACTCAGCCAAACATTTTTCCACCCCGTGGGGTCTGTCCGTGATCCAGCACCCGTTTCCTAACGATTATCCCGAGGGAAAACAGGGATTTCCAGCGGGGAGGGGGGGAATTTTGCAATCCTGGCAGAGAGGTCAGGCATGGACAGGGCAGTTTAGGAGGTGGTGGCTGGGCAGAAAATCCTCTTTGGATTGTGCTAAAGCAGCCAAGGACAAGTTTGGACTTCTGAGGGAAGGCGACGGAGTCTGGGAAGCTCTGGGAAAGCTCTTGGGATTAAGAGCAGATAACACGGATCCAAATCCTTGTAAACAGCAGGAATTTCTCAGCTGGGGTGGCTGAAGTGAGGACAAAGCACCCAGAGGTGAAACGGGGATGAGTTTTAAATCCTGGGATGGATGGGATTTGGGGGGGATTTCCATCCTGGAGTCTGCGATATCTCCAAGGAAAAATTGTCCTGAAACAATTCAGCGGAGTTCTTCCGGATCCTCTCTGGGCTTGGAGCTGGATTTTCCTCTGGAGAAGGATTTTTTTTGGTTTGGGAGGGTTTTCTTGTGCCTGGAGGAGAGGGGGGTGTGAGTCCGAAATCCAGTTTAACCAACGGAAGTGCCCTGGGAGAACTTCCCAGGGATTTTGGGAATACCGTAGGATTAACGTTCTCTTAGAACCATGGAATGTCCTGAGTGGGAAGGGACCCCCCAGGACCATGGATCCAACTCCTTCCCTGCCCAGGACAATCCCAGCAACCCCTGGCAGCCTTGGGAATGTTCCCATTCCCTGGAAAGGTGTTCCAGTGCCCCAGCACCCTCTGGATGAGGAATCTTTACTTGATATCCAACCTCATCCTCCCTGGAAC